TGAGCTGTGATGCCACAGCACTCTACCCAGGGGGACAGCTTGAAGCTCTGTCCCAAATAAATAAATAAATAAATAAAACTGATGTTTGAAAAAACCATCAATATGTATCCAATATCAATTATCAGTACCAATATTTAAAATGTTATTTTAAACACCTTGAAATATCTTTAAAATTTTCTCCTCACTCTTGGTATTTGAAGTGTCATCTCTGACAGCATCACCTACTAGACATACAGATTCTAAATCCTCACTTCAATCCTACAGTATCCTGAGTGATTTAAACATGTTAATATTTGAAAAGCATTGCCCTACACCATTCAGGTCCTTCCCTTGGTACCTGTGTTTCATTTAAATGCAGCAGTAAATGTATCCTAGCACTCTGGGAGGCCCGAGGAGGGTGGACTGCCTGAGCCCACAGGTTCCAGACCAGCCCTAGCAAGAGCGAGACCCAGTCTCTAAAAGTAGCTGGGCATTGTGGCAGGTGCCTGTAGTCTCAGCCACTTGAGAGGCTGAGGTGAGAAAATCGCTTGCGCCCAAGAGAGTTGGAGGTTGCTGTGAACTATGACGCTATGGCACTCTACTGAGGGCAACAAAGTGAGACTCTGTTTATAAATAAATAAATAAACGCACCAGTAAACAAGAATTGAAAATCGAGCAAACGAGAATGAAATCAGTATTTGTATTAGGATTGGACCTGTACTTATTTGACTTCAGGTGAAGTTATATTACAGAGTAATTTGGCCTAATGGGTATATTACAAAACTTAGGAATTAGGAATTAGTCATAAAAACATATGACTAAAGAAAATTGAGCAGTAGGTCAGTAACATTCTTAAGAACTCATTTTTGTCCCTTAGTTCCTAGCACAGAGCTTAAAATGATTTATGTGGCCAACGTTTCATGAATGAATAAAATAAATATATGAATTTTTAAAAATCAGAGACACTTAAGTTTGAAAATCTTGGGGTCATCTAGTCCAACAACTTCATTTCAAAGATGAGCAAACTAGAAATTCTGAGAGATGCAAAAGCAAATAAGCTAAAAAAAAAGGAGCTTTTTTGGCTGGAATGTTTTGGAATTCATATTTTAATTCCCTTTTTGTTTCTTTTGTAGGAATATGTTGGGAGATTCTAACTATTAGGGCTGCTGGCTCTTCATGAAATGTAATGCAAAAAGGTGCCTAGGACTAGGAAGAAACTAGCAAGAGTAAGTAAGCCTGGGCAAAGCTATTTTTCCTAAGACTAATATATTTTTGACAGGACAATTAATTAATCAATTTACTCTACCAAAAAATTAATCTGAAGGATTTTCAGCAAAAGAAACACGAGCGGCATGAAAATGTTACAAACCCAGAGAGACTGCTCGTAACTAATTTAAATCTCCACAGGCTAATTTCCTGTTGAAGTATGACCTCCTGGGATAAGTTTTACTGCAGTGTTCATTACCAGATGACTTTTGGTTTTAAGAGAAGCCAAGGGCAAGTTGGAAATGTGATTTCTTAACTAAACTTTAAAAACGAAGAAAGAAACTGCGGCTGTTTCCCATTTCTGTTTGTAATCAGAATGCACGCTTGCAGAAGAAACACACCAGCCTCTGTAAGCAAAAATACAACGACCCAGTCACGTCCTCAGCACAAACCAACAAACTTCACAGCCGGATCCAGCTGTGCTGCCCAAGAGCCAGGAATTTATTCTAAGACAGTGCGTAGCTCAAAACGGCGAATGCAAGAAACGCCAGATTTCAATCACAAATGGGTGTGCCCTAAGTTTCCACACCCCCACCCCAACTTTGAACAAGCAGAAGTCTTTGAAGGAGTCTTGGTGAAAAGAAAAAAAAAAACTTTTAAGATGACTGTCCCCAAGGTACGCCTGGGTGGGGTGCAGGGAGCTCGCGGGGCCGCAGCAGGCGCCGGCTCCGCGGGAGGGGAAGGGGCCGGTCCCGAACCTGGTGGGAGGCCGGACCCCCGAGTGATTCATCGGCAGCCGCGGGTTTGCGCGCCACGGCCCGTGGGCGACGCCCAGCCAGCCCTACAGCCCCACAGCCCCACCCGGGCCGGTTCGCCCTGAAGCAGCCCTCAGCGTCCTCCTGCTCTCCGAGAGGGGCCCTTAGGGAAGGAGACCCGAGCTGGGCGGCTGGAAGGCAGCAACCTCTCCGTGTCCGGCCACCATGGCCGGTGCGCCTCCCTGTCCCAGCTGCAGACGGACTTCCTGGAAAGCACCGGGCTGGGCTTACCTGACTGGCGCCCGCTGGGGCCGCCGACCTCTTCACAGACCCGCGGGAACTGCCGGCAGCAAGCAAAGGCTGGGTCTCAGCACCCGTCCGTCAGCCTGTGTGGGCCTTCCCCGGAGCTGCCCGCTCCTGTGGCAGCGGCTCCCTCACTCGACCGCGCTGTCGGAGCAGCGAGAGCCCCTTCTTCTTCCAGCGCTTGCGCACGTGCATCCCGCGGGGCATCCCGGGAGTTGTAGTCGAGCCAGGGCGGGTGCGGCTCTGTGCAAACCCTGGTCTTTACTAAGGGCAGAAAACCCAACTTTGAGATGAAGCTCGCTACTCTTGGAAAGACCTACCCTTAGCCCTCTGGAAGTTACCGATCATATCTAGGGGTTCTTGGGCGGCGCCTGTGGCTCAGTGAGTAGGACCCCAGCCCCATATACCGAGGATGGCGGGTTCAAACCTGGCCCTGGCCAAACTGCAAAAAGTAGCCGGGAGATTGAGGCAAGAGAATCGCCTAAGCCTAGGAGTTGGAGGTTGCTGTGAGCTGTGTGATGCCACGGCACTCTACCGAGGGCGACAGAGTGAGACTCTGTCTCTACAAAAAACATATCTAGAGGTTCTTCGGTATGATTTCCTTTTTATTTTGATCTTTTGTAAAGAGGCACACACGGCAGAACTTGCATTGCACTCTTGGTGTTAATGCAAAGACAAGACATCGAGCCCCTTAAACTTGTCATGAAAAAATGATGGCAAAGTAAACAAATAAATAAAAGCTAAGGCCCGAGAGAGATATAAGGCAGGCGAATGTCACCTCAAGGGTGTGGTGACCCTAGTAGTTTTCTTAGGTACGCAACCAGGGATGATGTAGCAACTGTTGTCCCTATCTTCCCCAGCAGTGCCTGACCCTTTCCGGCTTCAGACTTTACCCAGGCTGTAGGGCTGGGCTGATGTAAGTGGGAGAAAAAAACAAGCGACAGCTCAAAGGAGGGGACTGGGCCAGATGGGTGATCTGGAGGGGAAGACAAAGAGTGTGGGAGTATCTCAAAAAACTGTTTGACAGCGGCCTAGTCAAATGGCTAGGCTTTACACTTTTTAGAGGACTCAGAAGAGGGAACAGCAGTGTCCTTCTCTTCATTCAGTCACTGGGAATTTTCCTGGCTGCTCCCCAGGAGCAGCCCATCCTCAGTAGTAAAGCCTAGCTTCGAAACACCTTTCAAAAATGCAACCAAGGAAGTGAACTGTACTCGAACCTACTCGAGATACATTCCAGTATGGGAGTTGCCTAATGGTTAAATCTCTCCTGGCATCTATTTCTTCCCCATAGAGCAGACAGCACCCTAGTTAAGTAAACACCTTGGAATTTAATGCAACTCTCACCCACTAACTCCAGTAAGATCACTGATCATTTTGGGTTTTAAAGGGGGCGGGGGAACCCTTCTAAATTGCAAATACTCTTAGAAGACAGTCAACATTCACTCTTGTTAGCCCTAACACCGCATTTTCTCTTATATCTGGTGTGAACCAATTTCTCAAATGTTCTTGGAGATAAAAGCAATTTTACTGTTAAGATACATTTCTGAGAGCAATTTCTAACAGAATTCAGATTCAACTAATATTTGTAAAATACTTAATACATACCAAGCACTGTGCCAGCATTTCGTTTATAATATCTCATCCAAACCTCCAAATAACCCTGCAAAGAGTTACTTAGTATACTTTATATCTGCAGTTGAAAAAACTAAGACTCAGAAAAGTTAAGTATTTTGCACAAGGTCACATAGCCTGTAACTAGAGATAAAGAAAAGAAACACAAGTATCCTAACTCAAATTCTAACATTCTTTCCACTGCTGATTAGAATACTGTGTCTCTTAAATCTCACCAAATTCTTTAAAGTAAGACAATCCATGATCTTGTCCAAGGTATAAAAAAAATTCTCTAATCATCAGGAGGAGATGGTACTCTGGATGAGATGAATGTTTGGATTCTTCCGATATCTATATCTATATCTATATCTATTCCTAACTTACTCTGGCTTACCAGCAAGCCTCTTGTGAATTCCTGCTAACATCTCTGGGCCATCACTCCTGGGGAAATCAACAAAATGGAGTTCTTGAACACATAAAACAGAGGACCATGGCTATGCAGACATGGTTTATTTTAAGGACTTTCCCCTGCAACAAGGGGTTCCTTGCTTTGTTCTTTAGTCAAATGTCTGACTGATTTAATCCATGACACTTTTCTCCCTGGACCTTCTAATATGGGGTATTAGGCATACCTTCAATGTATTTCCTCTTTTAGTTATTCTTTTTTTTTTTTTTTTTTTGAGACAGTCTCATTATGTCACCCTCGGTAGAGTGCTGTGGTGTCATAGCTCACAGCAATCTCAAACTCTTGGGCTTAAGCAATTCTCTTGCCTCAG